ATGACCTCATATATCGGATTAGACCAGAACATTCACACTGCTACAGATAAGAGCCCGAAACACAGGGAATCCAGGACAGATAAATCCCTCAGGGCCAACGATGAGAATAGAGATATCAGGAGGACTAGGGGAAGAATTAGGGGAATCAATCACAAGGATCAATATATAACCCCCTCATAGGGGCACAAACGGAAAAGTGGGTGAATGGCGACAGAGGAGGATGTAAGATAGGAAAATAATGATCTATAACTTATCAAGGGCTCATGAGGGACGGCGGGCGGGGAAAGGAGAAGAGAAAAATGAGGAGCTGATATCAAGGGCTCAAGTAGAAAGAAAATGCTTTGAAAATGATGATGGCAGCATATGTGCACATGTGCTTGACACAATGGACGAATGTATGGACTGTTTTAAGAGATGTAAGAGCCCCCAATAAAAGTATTTAATTTTTAAAAATGCATTACGATCAGGACTGTATGGTATTTCTACTAAATATGACATTTTGAAGCACACACAAAAAAGAAAATAATAATAATAATTTATAATTTATCCATGAAGGCAGGGGAGGGGGAAAGAGGAAGTACCACCAAGGGCTCAAGTAGAAAGAAACTGTTTTGAAAATAATGATGGCAACACATGTACAAATGAGTTTGATACAGTTGATGTATGGATTGTGATATGTAAGAGCCCCCAATAAAATGATTAATTAAAAAAGAAGAATTTACCCCAGAGAAATAAAGAATTGGTAGAAAATATACAGTATATGGAGATCTAAGAGAAGATAATGGTTTGAAAACAATAGGCTAGAATTTCCAGATGTCAAGTAAAATACAGACCCCCCCAAAAGTGTACATTGGTGGTTAGCAATTAACACTTTTTTATCAATTAATTTTGGTGTCTTGATGGAGGACAAGCTATTGAAAAGAGAAAGAAGTGGATGGAACATGTAGACTACTCTTTTCAGAAGCTTAGTAGTGAAAGACAAGAGAAAAATAGGAAAGGCTTCGTGGAGTAATAAAGGGGATTTGGAAGAGTAGAAATGAGAAACTGCTGTTTACAGGCTGAAGGGATAAGAGATTGTGCAGAGGGAAGATGGAGTAACTGATAGGACAAGGTACCTCAGAGACGGGACCCAGAGACAGGTGACATATTAGCCACATATGCTGCTTCAAAGGCCCTTTTAGAAGGGTCAATTACCTGTAATTTTATATCTCGTTCTTTTTCCTTGATCTGAACAGCATGTTTGGCCTGAGCAATGGGTGACTCCCACATACAATCCGACAGAAGGGAAAATAAACGTTCAACCACCTATTTTATTGAAAGGAAAAACAATGATGCACTATGATAAGCTTAATTTTAAATACTTGCAGAAAAGATAAATCATAAAACTGTAATATTAGGTCACACATACCACGTGATAACAAAACTATTAGTTGCCTTTTGTGGTAAAAGTTAAAAAACATCTTTAGAGAAAGCATTAACCCACTAGAAAGTGGGTCCCACTGCCCTCATGCTGCCATGCTATAGGGACTTCTGACGAGGCGAGACCTCCTCACACATCTCTCTAGGGAATCCCGAGCCCAGCAAGAACTGTCACAGCTGTCCCTTTGTTTCTAAGCTACCCTTCCACTGCTCACAGCCCACAACTTACTGTCATTTCCCTCACCTGCAGGTGTGATTGTACAGAAAGCTACCTCAAACGTGGAAACTACAGAACAAATGACACAATTTACAACTATAGGGTCTGTAAGTGAAGATTGTTGGATGAATCACATGGTGGGTGTGAAAACATCTTCTTAACAACTTTAAAAATAGAGACCTGGGCCATCTGATCATCTTCTACACCAGATTCACAAGCTGGCAGCACAGCTTCGAGGACATGAAGTGCAAGGAGCCTTGTTCTTAAGTTACCAACTAGAGGAATACCTGGGGGAAAAGACATTTTCTTTTTAGCAATATAATTTAAACTTAAAGGTGCTCCAATTTTTATGTATATAAAACAAGCACTACAAAACAACCTGTGCCAACTACTATGCTATTCATTTTATACACGTTTATTCCACAAATCCTGCATTGCAGCCCCATGTTTCTGATAAACAAACAGACTTTCAGGAACCAACTACAATGACTGACATACAACAGTAACATGGGTGAAGGGAGACAGCAGGTGGTATAAGATATGAAAATAATAATTTAAAATTTATCAGGAGTCCATGAGGGGGGAGGGTGGTGGAGGGAGGGAAAAGAGGAGCTGATACCAAGGGCTCAAACAAATTATTTTTAAATGATGGCAACATATGTACAAATGCGCTTAATACAATTGATGTATGGATTGTTCAAGAGCTCTAAGAGTTCCCAATAAAATGATTTATTAAAAAGAATTGTCCAATCACTGCCACAATAATAAAAAAGAAAGAAACTGAGACTCAGAGAAGTTAAGTACCTTGACCACAGTCACAGAGGTCAGCAGAGTGAAACTTTTCATTGGGTCTGTCCTCCCTAAAGCTGTTACTTAATACATTCATTTCCTCTTCCCTGTTCCATGCCCTCCTGCTGACTACAGAGACCATTAGGGCTAATGAGGAGAAAGCAAGCTGAAATTTTCTCAAGTAAGCCAAAGTAGAGAAGAGACATTGGGGTATAAATACCATGAACACAATAAAACTGATGAAAAATTTAAATGGGTAGCTGATTTTTTTTATGCTCTAAAACTAAAGCCTATGTCATACAAGCCTCACTTTACTAAAGGGAAAAATAAAGCTGCTCCAAGTTATACTATTTGAGCAAAGCTTAAGTAAACTGAGAATGCATACATATAGAATAACATGCATCAGGGAAGATTGTATTACATCTTAGCATGCTTGAACACACAGGGAAAGGACTGACAGCCATCTATGTGAACTGACCTACTCTTCAAGCTAAGAACCAGGAAATAAAACCATCACAGAGATCACACAATCACAAGTCACAATCAAAGCGATGGAAATCATATGATGCTAAAAGAATGGACAAATGTAGCCTGCATTCTCAAAGAAGTTGAAATCAAAGAAGTCAAAATGTGAGGTAAATTACCATCTTAAACAGGGAGTATTCTCTGGATTAAATCTAAGATCTTCTCTAGCACTACTTTCTATTACTAATTCCTATCCATTTTTATTCCTGAAATTAGTTTTCTTTTGATCAGTAAGTACTCAGAAAACCACTGAGTTTCACAGTTTCACAACTGAGGTCAAGTGGTCAATGCTGCTGAAATCTGGGATTACAAATAAAATACATGTTGTATACAAACTCTCTACAATGAAGGTAAAGATTATATATACCTGAAGAGCACTTTTGAGAGGCTATATTTAGAAGCACCTCTGTCCATTTGGGGGAAGCCATTTTTGACTGAATTGCTTTTGAAGACACAACTCTGCGAAGGAAAACTAAAAAGTCCCCCAGGTGCAATTCTGCAGCGTGCTGTTTCCGAAGGGCAGCTGAAGAGTGAAGAGAAGTGAACACTTTCACCAAAAGCTAACAGGAGCCAGTCTTCTTTCAGATCATGCACATTTTAAGTGTAGTAAGCACAAACCTAATTTAAAAGCTAGGAGGTCAATAGTTAATAAGTTCTGAAACTTAAGGAAAAAGGAAGAAAGGTCTGAAAATAAAGACCAACTTTTTAAAGTTTTAAAACATTTAGGTCTGTATGCAATGTGAGTGCACATGCTAGTATAAAGTCCGTGAACTTGGGATTACATTTAGGTCTGTATGCAATGTGAGTGCACATGCTAGTATAAAGTCCGTGAACTTGGGATTTATCTTTTCCCCCCAAATAAATGTTGTTGTTGAAAATACATGCAGCAAAACATAAACCAATTCAATTATTTCTGCAAGTGATTTCACCCTTCTCACTCTGCTTTTCTGAGCTGCTCCAATCCCCACTAACATAAACTCACAGCCCTCTAAGGTCCCAGCTAATTTTTGAGCTGCTGTTGTCATGCTGAGTCCCTATAGATCTCAAAAGAGCATACTGTTCAAGGCAGACTTCCCTTTTAAGTTAAGTGATTTTTTTGGTTTTAAAAGGTTTCTTGATTTTGTACTTCTTTGTTGTCTTCCTTTACCATATAGACTACACTCCAGACAATCCTTATGGGACAGCTCGATTCTGTTATATAGGGTTGCTGTAAATTGACACTGATTCAACAAAATCCAGAGCCACCACCATCTTCACAGGAAGGGCACCTCTAAACTGGAGGGCTTCTGCTTTGCCTAAACAGGTATGCAAGGCTATGGCAGAATCAAACTGGTAAGGATACAGAGCACACGGTAAGAGAATTCTTTTTCCATCTTTCTTCCACATAGTATTCTACCCCTTCTTTGGTTAAATGCTAAGCAAATGTTTATATTCTAATAATCTAAAGAATATCAAGCTTTAGCCTGTCCTGCATCTAGTGTGGCTATGAGTGGGGTTGAAGGTTTTGGGGTTGTTTGTTTAGTTGGTTCTGCTTATGCATACTCACATAACTCACTTCAACCTTGCTCTTCCACATTCCTTCCAGATCTAGTTCAAAAGCTACCTCTTCTAGGGAACTTTCTCTACCGTGGTACCTGGGAAAATCTCTTTTATGAGAGCCTGCATCCTCCCCCACAAATGGCAGGAAATATTGCTGTAACAAGACACTGTTAATATAAAGGTGGTATATAAAACTTGAAACAGTTTGTATTTCAATATCAATACTACCCTTGAAGTTAAAGAGCATAACTTATTTTTCATTATTTTAGGCAAATTGGGTAGTATTAATGCTTGGGCAGCCTCCCTCTGAATGCTTGGTCACTGGGGATGAGTTCCTTTCATTCTCAGCTGTGCCCCCAAAGAGAGATGGGCCAGTGCTCCTCACACTCCAGGGCAATTGAAAGGAAGGGTGAACTCTGACTGCTGCTACTGCTGAGATCCTCACAGAACTGGGCCTCTCTACTGGAGAGGAAAGATCCAGCTTTGCGTGGGCCTATATAGGCTAGTAGTAGTTTTACTGCCTTCTTCCAGCTGTCCACTTGTGCAGTACTTAGCACAGAGGGTAAGAAACTGTTACCTTATCAACCCTGTGTTCCCCCAATGGATCCAAGGAACACAAGAGATAGCAGTAAATACTTGTTTTTACTTTATCCTATCTTCTGAGTCTGCTCAAGCCCTTTGTTCATAAAGATAACTCTGTATATAAACAGAGAAAAGGGACGTGCTAATCCTCAAATAAGTTCAATGACTGTGACTGAAAAGCTTTATATATTTCTTCTTATATGATGCTCTAATTATTTTTGTACATGTCTATCTCCCTCATTACCCTAGAGCAGTGGTTCTTAACCATCCTAATGCCATGACTCTTTAATACAGTTCCTCATGTTGTGGTGATCCACAACCATAAAATTCTTTTTGTTGCTACTTTATAACTGTAATTTTTCTACTGTTATGAATCAGGCAACCCCTGTGAAAAGAGTCGTTTGACCCCCAAAGGGATCGCGACCCACAGGTTTAAACTCCGGCCCTAGATGGTACCTACGGGCAGAGAAAATGTTCTGTCATCTCTGTATCACCAGGGTATCTCCACTATCTAATCATCTATTCAACTATCAACAAAAAATATTACTTACTTTTCATATGAGTCTGATATTAATATGCACATGTACCAAGCTCTCACTATGAGAGTGTATTAAATCATTTAATGTTCCCATAAACCTCAGAAGGTTGCTCCTATTATTATCTTCATCTTTTATGAAGGAGTTGGAGCACCAAGAGGTAAAATAACTTGATTTTTCCCTCCAGCTACCTACCTAATCCAGAACAGACTTAACCTCCTAGAGCTTACTGTAACACTGGGACATGGTGGAGTAATCAGGTATTTTGAATAGTGGATACTTTTAGATCTTTAATTTACTGATTATAAAAGGGGCTTTTGCACTAAAGTTCTGCTTCTCAGAGTTTAAGTTCTACTGAAATACAATGCTTGTGTTAATTGTTTTATGTTGTGTGTAAATGACCATAGTGCAGCAAGCAAAATTTATGATGGCTAGATATGATCAGGAATTAACGGGTGACTAGGGAACAGAACAACCTAGGGAAATGTCCAGCATCTTTATTATAGCCCAGTTCCTCCAAATCAAAATCCCTGGTCCTGGGGAAACATTTAGGCCAGGACTGTGGTTACAGATATCTTTATCAAGATCATATGCTAAGAAAAACATCTGACCTTGCTCTAAGCCAGTGGTTCTCAACCTTCCTAATGTCGTGACCCTTTAATACAGTTCCTCATGTTGTGGTGACTCCCAACCATAAAATTATATTCGTTGCTCTGCATAACTGTAATTTTGCTGCTGTGATGAACTGGATGACCCCTGTGAAAGGGTGGTTCAACCCCCAAAGGCGTCACGACTAACAGGTTGAGAACCGCTGCTCTAAGCAACCAGGCAACAGCCAGGGAAATCAGGCACCAAGACGGCAGGCGCTCAAGGCAGGACCCCAAGGGAGAAGCACCTAGAGGGGAAGAATGGTCACAGCATCGAGGTTAGGAGGCTCTTTCAAAAACCTGGAGCAGGGTGAGAGCTCATTTAAACCATATATATTTGTAGAGAAAAAGGTTTGAAAACCAACAGGCAAATAAAAAATCCTCATAATGGAGATACGCCTACATTGTACTGCTGTGTGCACAATGGAGGTGTATATAACAGCAGAAGTCAGTTTCATGGTACCTCTAAAATCTCGCTTCTCAATTTCTCCACTAGCGTCGACTTTTTTTTCTTCCTCCTCTTCTCCCTCTTCTTCCCCTTCTCCAAATGAGGCCATAAGCAGTACACCAGCCTGAGACAACAAATTCTTCAACTGACTACACAGCAGATCCAATAAGGACTGAACTACTTTGGGGCTCAGCTTATCAGCATAGGTCCTATGTGAAATAAGAATAATACAGTAAGTGGCAGGGATGCCGAGGGAAATGTTATGTGAAACACAGAAAGTAAGATCATAGTGGGAAATGGAGATTGATTACTGAAATGTAAAGACAATCGGTCCCACAGAGTACTACCAAGACATTGACAATGCTCACCCTGTAGTGATGGCTAAAATCTGGAGCAGTCTTGTACTGGCCACTTTCAAAGCTGTGCTAAGCTGGGAAATGCCTGTCTTTGGCAACAACTGCAGAGGCTGTCCTAGCATGGTGTTAGTGCCACAGAGCTGCGACAAGACATTTAACAGACCAGTGGAAATGGCCAAAGAAACATCCACTGGTTGATAATGGACACTCAAGGCAAAAACTGTAACCAAAAGTAGACGCTGCTGGGCTTCTGAAAAAAGAGAGAGGGAGCTGAGAATGTTGTTTGATGTAAACAAAGCATTTACAAAAATAAATATCCGAAACACGAGTAATATGAATCGCTAGCATATTTTCAAATATAGATGGGGCACCCCCCCGAAAAAAAACCTCTGCTGGGCAGAGCTTTCATAGAACGCCTTTTTCCCGCTAGATGAGCATCTTGCATCTCTCTCTGCATTAGTGCACCCCGTGGTGTCACAGCCTGAGACGGTTCTCTCGGGTCACAGTGAATGTTTTCATAAAAGCAGTTTCGCTCAAACCTTGTTTTTTGTGATGGCCGATTTAAGAGAACACTGTGAAATTTTGTTTCCTGCTCAGGAAAAATGCCAAAGAAACTGTTGTGATGTTAAACACAGCTTACAAGGACAATGCTATGGGAAAAATTCAAGTCTGAGTGGTTTTCTCATTTCAAAAAAGGTGAAATGTCAACTGATGACAAACTTCATTCTGGACATCTGTCAACTAGCCGAACGGTTGGAAATGTAGACTCATGATGCATTTGTAGTTCGTTCTACCAGGTCAGACTATTAATTAAGCTTTCTATTTAGAGGTTCTGAAAAGACTGCATAATGGTGTGCAATAAAAAAGGCCTGATTTGTGGCAGACAGCAGGCTTGTTCTGACACCACGACAATGCACCTGCTGACACAGCATCTCAGTGCGTCAGTTTTTGGCAAAACACGGCATGTCTGTCTTGCCCCAAGCACCTTACACACCTGACCTCGCTCTGTGTGAATTCTTTTTGTTTCCATGAAAGCAGAGGGATATGAAAGGACATATCCCTTTCTATGACAACATAGAAGAAGTGAAAAAAAAATGAGGGAGGGCTGTCATCCAACCAACCAGATGAGTTTGAAAAACGTTTCCAAGAATGGAATCACAGATTTGACAAAGGTATTAAGTGTAATAGAGAGTACTTTGAAGTTGATAAAGTTGCTTTGTAAAAAAAGAAATACATAGCTTTGGGGGAAAAAGTTCTGTTTTTTGGGGGGTGCCCCTCGTATATGCTTTACCTATAACCTTATCTATGCATGTTTAACACAGAGTGGAGAGTGCCACAGCCAAAATGTGACCCTTATTTTGTACTTGCAGGGCGATTCCTCACCAATATGATGTTTGTTTGCTTGTAGGGCTCTCTCCAGGGTAGCAGACAATTGTTGGTAAATCTTATGCACAGCCACCTGGATTTCAATCTGAATATTTCTCTTAGCTGCTCGGATCCCATCCTAAATTACACATAAAGATTTTCTTTTTCCATGTGCAATAAGCTCCTTGCCTCCCCCAAAAGTATTAGCATCTTATGCCTAGTATATGCTAGAGTCCTTTGATGGGTTTTTAATTATACTATATTTCAGCATGTAAAAGGATTTTTTTGTTATTTTTATTTTTTATCTTTTTTGGGGGGGGCTCTTAAGAATATCATAACATTGCATAGTTCAATCACAGTATTGTAAAATTGCTACCAGTCAGTTTCAAACATTTTCTTTCTTCTTGAACTCCTTGATAGCAAGTTCCCTTTTGCCCCCTCCCTCCCCTTCCCTGCCCCCCGCCCCCCATGATCCCCTATTGTTTTTTGCGGCATCTTACATCATTCAATATATCCATTTAGATACAATCCTGCTGTTCGACCCCCTCCAGTGGTCATCAGTGCTATCAGCTGTTCCCTTCCCCCTCATCCCCACCCACTCCCGCGCCCCTGCTCCCCATTCCCGGAGGGAACCGTTACTCTTGCTGCTGTTTCTGAAGAGTTGTCTATCTTGGCTTTCATGTATCAAACTAAATTATACAAAAGAACATACCCAAAACTAACATGATTAATGAAGTAAAACAAATAAAAGCCACAATAGTAAGGGGAGAAACTATTAAAGAAGTAGAGGACAGTTATGTGCTTCATCATTCTCAAATGCTTGATAATTTTTTTAAATCATTTTATTGGGGGCTCATACAACTCTTAGCACAATCCACACATATATCCATTTTGTAAAGCACATTTGTACATTCGCTGCCCTCATCATTCTCAAAACATTTGCTCTCCACTTAAGCCCTTGGCATCAGCTCATTTTCCCCCTTCCCTCCCAGCTCCCCCCTCCCTCATGAACCCTTGATAATTTATAAACTATTATTTTGTCATATCTTACACTGTCCGACATCTCCCTTCACCCACTTTTCTGTTGTCCATCCCCACAGAGGAGGTTGTATGTAGATCCTTATAATCACTTCCCCTTTCCACCCCACCCTCCCTCTACCCTCCTGGTATCGCCACTCTTGGCACTGGTCCTGAAGGGATCATCTGTCCTGGATTCCCTATGTTTCCAGTTCCTATCTGTACCAGTGTACATCCTCTGGTCCAACCAGATTTGTAAGGTAGAATTGGGATCATGATAGTGGAGGGGGAGGAAGCATTTAGGAACTAGAGGAAAGTTGTATGCTCCATCATACTGCTAGCTATCCTCCTCCTAAGAAAGCTCTGTCACCTACCTGATAGTGATGCAATCGGCCACTCTCTCCTTTGGCTCCTGCATGCCCAACAGTGCCTAAACCAAAGCACCCTGCTAGAAACTGCAGCCTCACAGATGTGAGCAGTGTAGACGATTGGAAGCCTGAGCCCGACCTGCTTCCTGCCAGAGAGATGCTACCTTTTTCCTCCATCCCAGACAACAGAACAAGGATCTGGTGAAGCGCCTCTAATCGAAGCTTGAAAAAAAGCAAAAGGAGTATCTTTTAGAGTTCACTGAATGTAGACACAATGGAACTCTGCTAAATATGAATTATTGCTTAGCACACAGAAATTCTTAATATTTTCTAATAATCTATTTGATTTGAAGGTAAACTCATTAAACTATTTTGATGGACTTTTACCAAAATACATCTACAAACTCTAAAAGCAAAATATTTAGTATAAAAGTGGCTACACTGTACAAAGGTAAAATAAACAGAATTGTAAGTAGGAAACCTAGTTTCAAGACCAAACTCTTTCACTTATTATGTAGCCTTGGGAAAGGCATGTCATGTCCTGAGTTTGTTCTGTCACGTATACAATGAGCTTACTTACAGAGTTACCACTGGAAGCTCATGAGGAGGTTTGTGAAGGCAGTGCTGATAGTGCTCCCTTTATTTACAATAAAGGTACGTAGAATGAGTATTCCAGGATTAAAGGATGTGCTTCTCGGTGGTTTTTTAAACAAGTTTCCCTAGGACACTATCTACCACTGCAATTCATCAATCTATCCCTCTTTGACTTTTTATTTTGAATTAATGTTAAATTTATAGAAGAGTGGTGAAGATCATTCAGTGTGCTCATATACCTTTTCCTTAACTTCCCCTAATGTTAATATCTCATAAAACCATTGTACATGAATAAAGTCTAAGGAATTAACATTGCTCACAGTATTAACGAAAGCAAAGATTTTAATTGAATTTCACTTGTTTTCCCAGTGTCGCTTTCACCCCCTAGGGACTACTCCAGGATTTCACATTGCCTTTAGTTGTCATCTCTCAAGTTTGTGGATAACATCTCAGTCTGTCCTTGCTTTTCATGAGCTTTACACATTTGAAAAGCTGTCCATGTATTTTGTAGACTATTTTTCATTTGCCTCGATGATTAGTTTTGTTCTTGGGACAAATAGCTCAAAAGTGAGGGTCTTTATCACATCATTATGAGGAGCACCTGCTATCAACATATCTTAGCACCAGTGATGTTAATCTTCTTACCGTATAACAATTGAGTATAAAGCCCACCCAAATATCAGCCAAGGCACCTAATTTTACTGCAAAAACTGCATTAAAAATATGCTGAAAAACTCAGCTTATACGTGAATACATACTGTATGTGTTTCAGCTGGACAATCTATGGTTTCATTTAGGTTTCCATAGTCCCTCCTATGGAGTAAATATAAAAGTCTTACCTCTGCCCTTAACTGCTGCTGTTCCATGGCAATGATGGAAGCCTGGGGGCTTGTAGACATACTTTCTTCCGGCTCTTTAAAACCTGGGGCGTTCCCCACGTCTCCACTCACAAAGCTTACAATGTTTTCAATCAGAGTGTGAACTCCCAAAGACTTAGTAAGATCAAAATCAGATTCAAAGGAATAAGAGTTGTACAACCAGTCTCTGCTATGTTTTAGGCGAGCCCAAGAGTCACTCAAGGATTCCAATTGACTGTGCATAGGACCTACATACAAAAAGAACAAGCACGCATCAATGGCAGCCAAGTAGAGTAAACATTCTAAAACTAGGTGAGAGCTGAGCACTGCTACCGTACCAACTGGTGAGAAATGAACACTCATGTTTGGCTACACGCATGCATTAAGTGAATCGGAGCAAAATGCTTTTGTGAAAAATAACAACCCAACAAATAAAATTAGAGCAATGTAGAAAAACAAAGGAAAAGCCCTATTTGATGTACCAGTGCTTGTATAAGCGCTTTAGCAACAGGCTGCCACAAGAAAAAGAAAGGCAGAAGCTGCTCTCAAAATGCTCGCTGAAAATGCTCTGCGGATCTCACCAGACGGTCACGTATGAACAAAAGAAAGGAACCAAGTATCTAGGACACTGAGGGTACAACCTACTCATAACTGAAGGTATTCACCTGATTGAACATTATCATTTGCAAAGGTTAAAACTGCATGTATCTACATGTCTGCAATGAAACATTACCAAAAAATTAAAATTAAGAAAACTAATACAGAAGGGCAAGTAAACTTAGACAAAAAGGAGATACATATATGACTCTTGGAGTTTCATTAATAACAAGGAATTACTGTTCTCATTGTGTCATGGGCATGTTTATTACAGATCATGAAACTCCTACATAGAGGAAGCACAGTTTCACAGACAAATCTATGTCATATTTACTACATTAAAATGTAGTAAGGTGAAAACCTGTGAGAGAAAGAAAACTCATATGGAAACGTGGTACGGCTGCACCCTGTCAAAGGTGGAAACTTGCTGGACTGGGAACACGAGGGAAGCCCACTGAGTTCCAGCTCTCACAGATTTCACTGTGTGAAACGACTCTACAGCTACTACCTGTCAAGTGGTGCCACATGGGGCATTTTCTAGGCTAAAGTGTTTACTCAGACAACAAAAAATGCTAACATGTTTGAGCACAAAAACAACTGTCCACATCATTTGTCAATATTAGCTTTGATAAGATATATTCATGTTCAATTCTTACACAGCTTATCTTTTTAAATTTAACTGATCTCAAGTACATGAACTGGGTGAATCATAATCCTTAGTTCATGGAACACTCTCATAATTGGTTTATGGATGGTCGGCCACTATGTTTACATATTTGTCTATAATAGACACTTGGGAATATGAGAACTAGAAAACAGACTCTACTCTTCCCCTAACCACCTCTCCTTATCTCCTCCTAGGCTAAGCTTATCATTATCCTAAATCCTGGGTTTTCATTCCCTGGCTTGTGTTATTGCTAAATATGACTTTATTGTATATGTTTTCCTAAGATGAAAATGTTTAATTTCAGTTGTTTCCAACTTTCTAAATAAAATTATACATTACATAATCTTTAAAGCACTCTTTTCATTCAATATAGATTAATATCCATCTATATTACTGCTATAACCATAGTTCATTTATATTACCACTGAATAATATTCTATCATGTGAATACACCGAATTTCCCATTAGGAATGTCTTTTAAGGAAACCAATAAAATATGCATACCAAAAGCTATTTGTTAGATAGCTAGGTGTAAAATATTTGCAAAGAAGCTACTTAAACACCAATTAATGCTCACAGAGAAAAACAAACCAACACAATATTAAATGTACGATCTTATTTTTGAAGTATTACATTGACGTCAGTGAAAGAAACCCCAGGACTTTGAAATCAGCCATAGTAATTCACAATAGGTATCTATTATTATAAAGCAACTATGAAACAATTTATGTGCATTCTAGTAGAATAACTTAGAAATAGATGGCTTAAAAAAGAAAGGCTTATCTGCCGTGCTTGTCTTAAAATATATTTTGAAGATAAAAAATTCTGAATTTTCAGTTTTAGTGAACAACCAAAAATCAATACAAAAATTTCCCCAATTTGTAGAGCTGAGTATTTTTCAAGTAAATAGAAACAGTAAAAATTTAAAGAATGCCACAGATGTATAATGTATTAAAGTGAAATGGCATTTAGAAAGTAAAGCTGCTTTTAATGTACAAAACAGATTATTTTTCCATTTCTTTGGGCACTCCAAATTTAGAATCTGGATTTATCCTTTAATTATAAATATTCTTTGATTTCTTGCATTGAGCTTGTTTTTTAATACAGAATAAAATTTTCTTCTATTTTCTAATCCTTGTAAATTGCTTTTAAAAATGAAAAATATGTAACTAAATTAGTGTTAGAGCCACACACATAAGAGACATTAAAGATAATATAATCAAATTTCTTCAATTGAGGAAGTGAAAGTTCGAGAGAACTGGATCTATTAATTTAATAAAACAAATCTTTAATTTCCAAGGAGGCAGTCTTACATATTCCTATTAATCAACCAAAAAATTGATCCATGGGAAGCTCAAATGCCTGCTGATACAAAGGTGCAATCATTGAGAGCTTCTGTACACTCCAAAATAGTCTATGGAGTAGACCAAATCCACTTACATTTCTATAGTTTAAAGCAGAGATTAGCAAACTTTCTGTAATAGGCTAGATAGAAAATATTTTAGGATTTGCAGGACATACAGTCTATGTCACAACTACTCCACTCTGCTGTTGTAGTGTGAAATCAGCCAGAGAAAACACATAAACAAATGAACATGGCTGTGTTTCAATAAAATTTTATTAACATAAAACCTTATTTCCAAAGGCCAGATTTAGCCCACAGGTCCATTAAGTTTGTCAGCCTCTGATTTTGTGGATTTAATTTATTACATGGCCCAAATAAAACTCCCTTTGAATAAAATGTAAGAAAGCATAGGAAAAACACCATCTGAAAACATGAAAATGAATGAGTAAAAAGTTTAAACCCGAGAATACAGTCTAAAAAAAAAAAAAAATACAGTCTACATCAAAATACTTTGAAACAAAAATTTATAGCATGGCAATGGAAGATAAAGGGATGCAAATAAAAAATCCATATATGACTCTATAACTGGTTTGTTCTGTATTGTTTTATCTGGATATGAGACATAATGTTGAAATAGCATATAAAAAGTTTCTAGAGTATAATTGAGACTAAGTCTAATTCTCATTTAAAGCTTGATTCAGATCCATCTACTATGTAAAGAAAACAAGACATAATGTCTGACAACAAAATTTTCACATTATTTACTTGTCCTTACAACTTGGCTCATAAATGGAACTTTCTAAATGAACATGGCAGAGCTGCAATACATACTTTATAAACCATAAAATATGTAGGCAAGCTGAAAGGGGAAAAAAATTAAACATGCCATCATGTACTTGCTTGAAGCTCTTCTTTTTTCTGGGGCTCAACTGGCCAAATAGGAGTAAATACACTACCACACAAGAACCAGAAGACAAAAGGAGAAATTTCATACAGGAGATAACATTTACATTTGTTCTTCTTTCTTTATATAATCCAATTTGAAATGCATAAATAAAACAGCATTTCACACATACAATTTATATCATGAGACAGGTGCTGACACATTTCCAGCATTATTTTATCAATCAAACCCTAACACTATATTTGAAAACCTAGAGGAAAACCAGGGACAGGGGGGGTAGACATATAGAAGTTTAACTAATAAGATTCCTGATGTTCATTCTTAAATTGTTGCCTTGATATTCTCAACATTTTCCACTCCATCAGTCATCAGCTTTAGCGATACATGAAAATGGAAATCAATCATATCAGCAAAAGGTATCTCATCTGTGAAGAATCAGCCTAGTTCTACAGAATTAATACAGCAAATCCTTTACCTGAAACTATAAAATACTTTGATGGGCTTTATCAAGAATTTTGATTGGCTGTTTTAAGGGATTAAGTGAGTTAATATTATTGAATACACAGAACAGTGCTTGGAATAAACAGTTTATTTAACAAGTGCAAATTTCATTATTACCTCCTAGGAGATAAGCAGAAGCAATATTTGTTTCATCTGGCTTTTTGAAAGTATGATGTTTTTTTGGTTTTACATTTTAGCTTTGATGCCTCTGAAAAGTTGAACAAGGAGACTACGCTGACTATATTTGTTCACATTGCTGTCCCTTCCCACATTCACATCCTTGCACCCTGCCATCGATCGACTCCTGTGAAAACACTAACAGGAGTGACGGAAGAAGGAGCAATCATGGTTTAACAGCTTGAATCTTTGTACCCTCAATGCCACATAATAAAATTACAGTTAGCAGGCCCTCTTTAAGGAGGGATCTTTGAAGGCATTAGAACAGGTGAAAATATATATACAACCACTACCTGTCATATACCCATTTAATTTAAATGAAAAGACTAAAATTAAACATTCTCTCTCTTCTATTGCTCAATATGATTTTATAAACTCAGAACCATCAAGATTAACAAATGCAGTTGGCTATGGGAAAGTTAAGAAATGGGGAAAAAGCTAACATTTCTTCTTCAAACATTGGAAGGAGTTGCAACATGCACACAAGAGCCCTGGTGGTGTAGTGAGTCACAAGTTGATATATTAACCGCAAGTTCAGCAGTTCGAAACCACCAACCACTCCACGGAAGAAGATTCGACTTTCTATCCCATAAGGAGTTACAAGTTGGGAAACCCACAGGGGCAGCTCTACCTTGCCTACAGGATGGGTCGCTCTGAGTTGCAATCAACTCAACGACAGTGTGTTTAATTTAACAGAATTCTCACTTGGCTGGACATTTGCTTGTCTTTCCTGGTTCAAGTCAGATTCAGAACACCAAGTGGTCCCAAACAGTTTTCAAACTTGGCAATTTCATCTACCCAACTGAAGATAGGCATATCATGGTTTATGAAATATGGCATACATTGACATTAAGGGGAAAAAAATCAAAGAGCGTGTTTTACCATATTTTAAAAACAAAATAAGGAAGAAAAAAAACACCCAGAGAGGGTAGTCACTCTACATCATTTTCTAAAAATTCTGTTAAAATGTAATTACTTAAATGTATTTTCAATGGTAATTTTCTTTTCAGAATAAATCCAGTATAGCAAAAATGGAATAAAAGCTGATATTTTTATTGTTTAGAATTCATAGTATAGGATTTCTAAGATTGAAAAGCAATTTTTCACTTTGGTGTCCTTCCTAAAATAAAAACTCTCCTAATCCAAAAACTCTTGTTACCAGTTTCTATGTGAAAAATCATCATTAAAAATTTTCCCTGTGATCATTAAAATGGAATGATTATCAGAACAAATTGATATTACATTACACGACATCATGAAAATGCATAGAACTAGTTTGCATCAATATTATAACTTCCTAAATGGATAGTTTTTAAAAACAGGCTTTCCTCACTGTGTACTAGCTATAATTTTTCTGATTTCAATAAGATAAAGTTAAATTATAGTAACTTAATAGGCTTCAGTACTGCTCTGAGCTTTTTAAAGAAAACAGTTAATCTAAAAACAAAATGTGAGTTAATGGCTTAATTTATTAATATCTACTTAGACACAAAACTACACAAAATCCACATCGACTTATAAGATAATTTAATACTTGTTTAAAATTCATTTTGTGAGGCTTCAAAATGTTCTGGAAACTCCACAAAATTTTTGAAGCCCCGACTCGCTCCCCCTTAATAAGTCCACCCTAATTCTACACGTTGCTAAAGATTCAAAGATAAAAATACCACTAACTATTTTCTTCCAAAGATATCACTTGCCACATGCTTTGGTAAAGATAGGTTGAAACTTAAAATTCATTATGCATGAGAAAGAGCTTAGAGAAGTAATTTTAGCCAATAGATTACCATTTATAAATATCAATACAGTTGGTATAGTAGGAAGCTCTTGCAATATAGTTTGGATTCCTTATGCTACTCAATAAGTCTCATCATCTCTCTAGCATCAAATGATATACATCACTGAAATCATAGCAACGTGACATAACCAGATATTTAATTTAATTTCAGTGGTTAAGGAAAAGGATACTCTGGCCAATTATGAAACCTGAGTTATACTACATTTTCAAATAATTAAAACATAAAAAGGTATATTTTGCATTATACTATATCACATTTTAAAAAATCATACATGCCTTGTCATTTTTTTAGAAATACAACACTATGATGTTATGTCCTCAAAAAGCCTTCCAATAAATAATAAAACCACTGATAAATTTTATTCTAGTGAAGCTTGAGCTTTTTTCTTCCAAGTTCCATTTTGGATATACCCCTCACCTGACCCCCAACCACCTCCATGGGGATTTAGAAAGCTGCTACCACTGGCAATGTTTAACACTGCACATTTTATAACCACAGCATAAGTAAGCTTAGGGAGAGTGCCAGTTATAGAGAATAATGCTCTTGAGAGTTTTCAGGTATCCTTGATTTATACCAAATAAAACTTGTTCTTTCCTTCCATTTGGACATTTAACCTATAGTTAACAATATTATCCATTAAGCTCCTAACAAAATGCCTTAATCCCTAGTGACACTCTAAAATGTTTCCAAAAGAGGGGGTGGCTATGGGAGGGTAATCATTCATCAGTTACTCACTCACACGTTTTATCTCAAGAGGCCAAGGAAGAGGAAAATAAAAAATCAAGTAACTCTAAAGCAACTATTTGAGTGTGTGTATGTATTGTGGGGGTGGGAGGGTGGGGGGTGGGAGGAGGTGCAGGGGGCTAGAGTAAAAGAAAGTCTCCCTGAAATGCCATTTGAATATAAACTATAAGTGAACTAAAATTCATGGCAAATTGTGTACCTAACCCCCTGTAGTGGAATGCACTGTTCTAGTGTTTCTAAGTGTTTTTAAAAAGTCAGAAAACATAACAAACAAGAAACAGAAATTATTATTAAATCTTTAATATTCCTAGATTATAAAAGAATGCATAAAGTCTTCCTTTTAATGATAAATTCTAAATTAATATTTTGCAATAATATATATATATTTAAAATCATTTTATTGGGGGATCGTATAACTCTTATCACACTCCATCCATCCATCCATTGTCAAGCACTTTTGTACATTTGTTGCCATCATCATTCTCAAAACATGTGCTTTCTGCTTGAGCCCTTGGTATCAACAACTCATTTTTTCCTTCCTTTCCCACCCCACCTCCCTCACGAACGCTTGATATTTGCAATAATATTTCAATGTCAACCATATCTAAATATATCAAACATAAAAACAGCTATTTCCTCTGACCAGATACTTAATATGTTCTTAGGATTTACCTCTCTTCCTATGAGATGATGCTAAATCCAAATCAACATTTCGTCTTCCACTCTATGAAAAGTTAAAAATGAATATAAATTTAGTTGTGAAAGATAATCAGATTTGATAGAGCATTAGAATTTTTAAATGATACAACTACAGTGACGTTCTACTTACCGAGTAGAACAATAATCAAGTTCTAAGAAATACAGAAAAGCCCTAGCATACTGATGCAAACCCAGAGCCAGGGTGAACACCAACTGACACTGTCATTTGGTTTGTCTTTGCTGTCATTTCCTTTTCCTCTTAGGATCTTTGTTGCTTCTCTTCCAGGCACATGACCTTATCACTACCTTCTAGAAGCCGAAGGCCTATGCAGCAAAATCCCATTTTCTAAAGTTACTTTTCCTTCCTCTATCCTCACTTTTCATTCTTTTGGACTCCCAGTAGCTTTGGCAGAATGTTTGGAGTCCATACCAACTGAAAAATAATATAGGTCTGTTCTAATCCAAGAGTTTCAAAAAAATGTGGGGAGAAACCGTATTATCTTTTAATTCCAATTTTCTACAAAGTTTTTTGACACCTCCTCATATTCTGAAAGACTGAAAAACGTTTTAAAAGACCTGGCAAAGAACTTTTAAAATGGACTGACTACTAAAATATCTCAAAGTAGTAACATTCCAGACAACTTAATTAAACACAGAGACCTAGCAGAATGGAAGCGTATTTCTCTCTGTGTCTCATGAAGAGATCACATAGACAGCTGTCTACTTTGCCCATATGTAAGGTCAACCATGTATAGACCATGAAACTTAATCTATGGGTGTCTTAGCAATCTCAGTTGTACTCTTTACACAGTCAGTCAGAAAATGTAACAACAAACCAAGAAACAGAAGTGACAAAATAGACCCAAATAGATAGTTTGCTTTATACATACCCCCATACATATAAGCATATATATACCACACATGCATCAACAGAATTAAATATATTCTTAGGCCATTTGGGAATCAACAACACAGGCCTGGTCATCATGACAGCTTCTGGAGGCATTCCTATGTCATGCATGAAACATGTTCACCTCATATACTTTGGCTACAAGAGCTTATGGAAGAAATTTATTTCAGGCTCTAAATTCAGACATACCTATACTTCTTAAACAACTGGTTTATTTTTCTCTGTTAGGCACTGTGAATCATAAGGCTTATTATGCTTTGCCTTTGGGCTTTTAAAAAACTTAGCACCAATTATGGGCCCACTTCTAGTCATGATACATTATAAGACACATGCTGAAGTATGTAATGTCTTCCACTGTTTCTCCTCAAATTCATTAATCTGTATCTATTTTTTTTAGATAAATCAAATCCTTTGAGAAAAGAGTGGAGTAGGGAATAGATTGGTAGAATATAATACGGAATGTTAACATGGTTGCCAATTGCTAACTAAACACTAATTTAGGCTTGGTGTTTGCTATTTACTGTAACAGTACTACCGAGTGCTTCAAAAGGTTCATGAAAAAATGCAATAGAAAGATAACAGAATGTTTCCATGAGCTCTTTGAAGTCCTTCATATATAATACTGGTTACTTTTAGTCATTTTTAAAAGGTGTCTCACTAGCTAAGAATTCAAAATAAAGAAGGCACCTCTCTAGATGAAGGGTAGGAACAGGAATCGGTCAGACAGGGTCACTAGCCCCACTGCTTGCCCCTGTTTTTCTGAAGCTCCAGTCACAACCTAGATGTCTCTAACTGAGTCTTTCCCCTTTCTAGTTGTCCTTTTTGCCTAATTTGATACTTTCCTTCTAAATATGAGAGAGAGAATAATCAAGAGTTAATTTTCATTAAAACTCATGTTAATTAATCTTAGAAAAACTAAAAGAACAATTTTTGCAGTTAGTACATTAAATAAATCCTCTTTCATTGGTCTGTCTTCCCCATTTAAATTTTTCACAGTGTTCTGAAATCATTATTAATGAATTTGCTCATCTCAACAACCTAAGTGACACTAATTATGTGTGTCTATTACAAAAAGGCTACACGTCTCTCCTGGCCAAAATTTATAGTGAATCTTAAGGCAATTCTGGCTCAAAGTCAGATTTCATTGTTTGTTTCCCCAAAAAGGGAAGCCACTTTAACTATACTAACCCTTATTTTTCCATTCCAATTCAAATATGTTTAAAACAGCATGTGAAACATTGTAAGAATTATCAGGGGGGCAGGGATTACCAGGGGTATTAAAAAATACACTAGACCTAGGTGTTTTTAATGGACAAAAATACTACTAGAACATGAATGAGTTATATATGGGATAAATCATCCGTGGTTTATTAGAGGTAGTATTATTATGGTACAATTGTTATAGGAATAACAAGATTTGGGGGGAGGAAGCAATCTGGAAAAGGTGGCATTTAACCAGTCACTGAAGGAGAGACAGGATTCAGCAAGAAAACCAGGGAAGCGGGCATCCAAGGGAGCAGTGCATTTGCAAAGGCTCAAGAGATGTTTGTGGGGTCTGGCAGATGGACTAATGTTAACAGAAATGCAGGTTCCTACAGAGAAAAACTCCAAAAGCTGGCAGGCAACGTGACCCTGAAACTCTGATTTTTGAACAGACAACTCACAGTTACTGAGTTGTTCTTAGCAGGAAGGTATCATGACCAGTGAGTACCCTGTCTGTATGTGTGTGCATTTTTAAAGCATTCTAACTTTGGGAGGAATGTCTAAGAAATGAAAAAGCAGGTAGATCAGATTGAAAACTATCAGTCCACAAAGGTATTACCACAAAGGTAATGAGAGTCTAAATTAATGAGTAGAAGGGCAGGAATGAGCCTAACATTTTTATTGAAGTAGATCACAGTCATTTTTTATTTGAAAAAATGATTACTGACTGCCTGCTATGGGCCAAGTACTATGACAAGTCCTTGAGCAGTGAATAAAACAGAAAAAAAAAAAATCCCTGCCTCCAAAAAGCTTATAATCTAGTGTAAGCGGGTTGGAACTTATCAATAATGGCCACTTTAAATAAGGTGGTCAAGGTGGGCCTGTTTAAAAGAGTCACATCAGAATGAAGACTCAAAGAAGGTGAGGAATTAGTCAAGCAGACAAAAGTATTCCTGGAAGAAACAGCCACACAAATGCCCTCAGGGGAACTTGCCTGGTAAATTCATGGAACAGTCATGAGAGCAGTGTGTCAACAGAGAGTTATCACAAAACAAAGTAGCAGAGAGGATTAGAAAGGTCATATGCCCAGATCATACAGCGAGCTGGGCAATATACGGACTTAGGTTCTACTCTGGAAAAAAGTGAAGTCACTGCACTACTTTGAGCAGAGAAGTAGCATGACCTATGCTTTAGTAGTCTACACATTGGGCTGCTAACCATAAGGACCGCAGTTCAAAATCAGCAGCCACTCCGCGGGAGAAAGTTGAGGCTCTCTACTCTGATGAACAGTTAGTCTCAGAAACCCACAGGGATCGATCTCTTCTGTCTTATAGGGTCACTAGGAGTTAGAATCAACTTGATTGCAGTGAGTTTGGATTTTTCTGTTTCATTAAACATTTAATGAGAATATACTATTGCCAGAAACGGTGTGATTTATCATTTATACAAGTTCTGCAAAATAGCCATTTGTAACTTTATTCCTCTATGGCTCAATTATTACCAGGTTATGAGGCTGATTATGAGAATAACCTGTTGGGAAAATAAGTGAACTTAGAGGAATCTCAGTGGACTGCGAAGCCTGAGATGATGAACTTGGAGCACTAAGAGACAGTAATGGCTCCCCCTTTACATATCCCCACTTAGGGGGGAACCGATCACAATGATTGACATATGGCCCCATCCCAAAGGGACGGACAGCAGAAAAGTGGGTAAAATGAGACAGTAGTCGGTGTAAAACATGAAAAGAAAAAAAAAGAATAATTTCTAAATTATCAAGGGGGCATGGGGGCGGGTGGGCTAATGAGGAGCTGATGCCAGGGGTTCAAGTAGAAAGAAAATGTTTTGAAAAAGATGATGACAACATATGTAAAAATGTGTTTGAAAAAATGGATATATGTATGGATTGTGATAAGAGCTGTAAGAGCCCCCAATAAAATAAAATAACTTTTTTAAAAGAGAGAGCGACTGACAGTAATGGAGCATGTAGCAATAGCAGACAAAAGGGAGAAAACTCAACAAAAATGAGGATACAATGAAACCTGAAGGCATTGTTTATTGTAGTGAAACATGGAAGAGGGGGATACATAGGAGGCAGGGCAACCAGTTTAGAGGCTTCTGTACCATTCCAGGCACAAGAGAAAAACGATGGAAACAATGGTAGCTGGGGAGCTAGAGAAGTGAGGATTCCGCGGAAAGCACAGTTAACAGTCAACTTTCAAGAAGACATGGTGAATAATCAGACTGTGGGGCTAAGGGAACGGAGGAATCAGGAGATAAAAAGAGTCTAGATCAACCCTCAGGTTTCTAGTCTGGGTAGTTAAGAGTATTGCCTACTAAGACAGAATTTAGAAGAAGCAGGTTTGGGGCAAAAGGTAATGTCATTTCTGGGAAGTTTAAGATTGGGATAGCCTCACATATTCAGGTAACCTGTCCATTAAGGAATCGGTTTTAAGAATCTGTTGTTTTGGAAGAAGTCATGGTTAAAGGGAGACAGATACTTGCAAGCCACTAATATATAAGTAGTAAATATTTATGCAATACAATTAGCTCATTTCTCTTGAAGTTCTTTAAAAATAATTTTTGTATGTCTAAAACAAATATACAAGAGGGTACCCCAAAAAAACCAGAATGGCGCTGGGTGGAGCAGAGCTTTCTTAGTACACCCTTTTCCCTCTAGTACACTTTGAGCAACTCTGCTCTGAGTCAGTGCACCCAGTGGCGTCACCTGAAAAGGTTTCTCTCTGGTCACAGTGAATTTTTTTGTAAAAGCAGTTTTGCTGAAACCTCATTTTTTGTGAAGGCTGACTTAAGAGAACAGCATGCAGCTGTGAAATTTTGTTTGCTACTCAGGGAAAAATGCCACAGAAACTGTTGTGATATTGAACACAGCTTACAAAGATAGCACTATGGGAAAAATTCAAGTGTCGGAGTGGTTTTCTTGTTTCAAAAAAGGTGAAATGCCGATTAATGAAAAACCTCATTCTGGACATCCGTCAATTTTCGAAGGGACGAAAATGTCAACTTCTGAAAAGATAGCACAACACTGTAGGCCTTCTACTGATTTGTGGCAGACGGGGGAGTGGTTTGACATCAAAACAATGCCCCTGCTCACACAGCCATCTCAGTATGCCAGTTTTTGGCCAAAAAACAACATGCCTCTCTTGCACTACGCACCTTACTCATCTGACCTTGCTATGTACAACTTTATTTTTGTTTCCGACGATGCAAAAGGACATGAAAGGACAATGACTTCATGACATAAAAGAGGCAAAGGAAAAAAAAGAGGTGCTGTCAGCCATCCCAACAGATGAGTTTGAAAAATGTTTCCAAGAACGGAATCGCAGATTTGATAAATGTATTAAGTGTAATGGAGAGTACTTTGAAGGTGATATGGTTGTTTGGTAAAAAAATTTAAATACATAGCTTTGAAAAAAAATCCCGGTTTTTTGGGGAGTATCCCCTCGTATATATTACTTCCTCCAACACAAGTGTATGTATCTAAACTTTGAAAACACAAACCCTTCTTTACTGAATCTAGGATACCTACCAGTGCGTAACCCTCTTCATCTGATTCAGGCTGAGACAGATCAGATTCACTCCTCGATTTGATCAGTCTATAATTTGCACTTGCGTGGACTAGCCGGCTCTCTGCAGTAAGACTTTCACTCCTGTCTCACATGCACAAAGAAAAGTTTTTCGATTTGGGACTGTTAGTAAACATAAAATTGAATGGAACTAGCAGCATAGAGATAATACACACACACACACACACACACATACACACAGTGAAGAGTAATTAGATCTGTCAATGGGAAATCCTGACTTTTGTCTTAAGCACAAAGCCTTCTGAGTTACATCAAAATAACTTGCACTCCACCAAATGAAAGAGGGATTCAAATGACTGGTTTCTCAACTGCTGCTACATATTATGTATGAAAACTTGTGCCTTCTCATTTAATCAGAAATTTATATCCCATGCTGAATTAGTATCCCTGTTTACATTACTTTTAATTCAGCCCAGTAATTGTATTTCTGCCCCCATGTTCATGTTAATTTGAAGAGCAAACCATTTGAACGCATAAAGCAGTAAAGCGGGGAATTTTAAGACTCTAGTCAGCCCCACCTGGTCATGAGTCCACTGCCCTCAGAGGCACTTGCTGACGGCTGCTGCAACTGTCCCTCTTCCCTTCGCTTCTGAAGCTCCTCGATCACAGGACTGACTCCTAGTACTAACAGGGCACACCGATGGATGACAGAGTTGCAGGCGGCAGTGTACACATCCTGGCCCTCAGGAAGGTCCGTGCTGACCCTTCGCTCTTGTTGAGACTGAGGAGGTGGATCATCAGCTCGAGCCCCAGACCCTGCCCCACTGTTCATTCTATCTCGATCTCGGCTACGAGCTACTTCACGAGCTGAGAGGAAACACTGAAAGATTTCTGTAACATGCAACACAAAAACAAGGTCTTAACACATGGGGAGAGAAGAGCAAAGAAGATAACAAACATCGTCAAAAAGTTGGGACCCAAAACTTAATGAAAAATGGAAAAATTATATTTTAGACATTACATCACAATGTAGTTACAATTATTTTAAAATACATACACATTACATTTTTCTTAGAAAATAAGAAAATACTCGTACGCTTTTATAGAACTTAGAATTGACTGATTGTACTTCTCTCATTCATGAATTAGTTCAGTGGTTTTCAAAGGTTAGTCCCAAGACCAATCACAGCAGCTGCATCTAGGAAATGCAAATTCTCAGGTCTTCCTCAGACCTACTGCATAAGAAGCTGTAAGGGCCCAGCAATCAGTGATTGAACAGGTTTTCGAAACGCTTATTTCTGAAATGCTCATGACCTTGTTATGAACAATAACAGGTTACAAAGGAAGCCCAAAGATTCATTAGTTATAATGTAAAACCTCCTTTCTCTTTCCAAAGTTCCTACTACACTTTGCTGAACGTTGAACACATTAATAAGCACAACCAGCAAAAGTCTTAGTGAGACAGAACCTGCTCTGTGGCCAAGATTGACTCCAATCCAGTTTGCAGAAGACTATGGATGACAGTGGGACCCCAAAGCTACCTCTGTGGGAACTACATAGGAACTAAGCCTCTGGTGATCTCCCTCTATCCAAAATTGAGGGATAGGAGGAAAGTGGTTACTAAATAGAGTGCACTGGAGAGATAAGTATAGAAGACCAAAGGGATAAACCTAACTTGAACAGTTAAAACTTTGTCAGTTGATCCCTCCCTCTGATGCACACTGGACCTGATCTAGTTTCAACATTTTATATTTTGTTTTGTTTCTTTATCTCAGAGGTGTTGTGTCATTGGGGTCACCCTCTTGAAGTTATGTTATATGTCTTTCTGTTTTTTGGTATCAATGAACCATGACTGATGAACCTATAGGGACAGCAAGTAGAATAATGGCTTCAGGGGTTGAGGGGGGTAAAAGGGAGAGGAAGTCAAGGAGTCCAGGAGGGAAAAAACTGTTTGGAAACCGATTGTGGTAGCAATTGTACAATACTACTTCACGTGATTGAACTATGGAATGATTTGTTTTAACTCCAAAATAATAATTAGAAAAACAGTTTGACTCCAGAGCCAGGTGACACCACCAGGAACTTCCATTCAATGCCAGCTCCCCGCCAATTCACAAGTGTTAAAAAAAAAAAAAAAAAAAAAGCCAGCTCTCCCTGCAGTTCACCAGTGGAGTGAATAGGCTTCTGATGTAGCGTTACACTATCTTAGAACAGGAAAATAATTTTCTGCTCAAATTTGGACTGAAGGTAGTGTTCTTAATGAGAAACCTGGAGGGGGTAGGGGTGGGGACTTGTTAAATACTTGACTCATCTGTAAATATGGAAGTATAAACTTTAATAATGGTTCTGTGCAGCTTATGACACTATCTGAGGCTATTTTCATTATGGATGTCCCTCTCTCTAAAAAATGGAAGCAATCATCCCTGTCGAGGCCCAGAGACAGAAATCAGGTAGCAGTTGGCCACTGGAGCTTTGGATGAGCCTGTGGCCTAATTTTAGCTGCCATGTACTAACTGTGGCTTTGCACACATACGTAATCTTGCTTCCTTAACCTGTATAGTTAGAATGCTCACCTTTAGGACAAGGCAATAAGACTCACTTCATATTTTTTATTCACTCAACTGGCAGTATTCTCAAGCACACGCTTGCTTTCTACTGTAAATAACACTGTAATAAGAAAGTGAGCTATACCATTTTAAATGTTCTACATATGCAGAATAATTGGGCTCTCTTAAAAAATATAAAAGGGGGCTCTGCTGGGCAGATAGACAGCCTGGTACCCTCAGAGGGCAGACTCTGAAAGAGGTGCATCCAGTGTCTCAGAGCTAGCATTCTGTGAGGAATTAGGACTGGCACACCTGCTCCCAAGGCCTTTCATCCCTGAACACTGTTTCAGACTACCCAGCAAGCACAGTTGTAAGCACCCTCTGAAACATTCAGGCTTAGACAAGACTAACAAATTATGAATATTAAGCTAAAGACAACAAGAAGTTTAGTCCAATTCATTAAAAATCATGACTAAACTGATTCTCAAATTTCATTTAAAATCTTTGAGTAGTTTATATATTCAAAGCCACCTACCAGCTATCTAATATAAACTCAGATCACTGGTAGATTATCACACCCTTTCAGAAAGCTTTGGAGAGACTTTTGTCTTCCCTCCTAAGTGAGCGCCCCTACCAGCAGGATGTGTACTCACTGCCGGCTGTCATCACTTCATGCTCCCGCTCATCCTCCTCGTCCTCCGGCTCCGGATGCCCCTCCTCTCTGTCTCTTTCAGCCTGTTCTTCCATTTCAGCTTCTTCATCAATGGTCCGGGTAAATGAGTGCTCCTGAGGATCAACATCTGCAGAGTCTTGGTTTTCTGAAATCTTAAAGAAGTTACCAGAAACTATACTGAATATGTTTTTTCAAAACTTTGAAAAACTTCATAAAAACCTTAAGATTGTTGTATCAAGGAAGATACTGTTGATGTCAATAACAACACATTCATTTTATTACAAAAATAACAAAAGAAATAGTGTGCAAATCCAAAAGAGTAGAAACAATGTATGCATGCATACACAGTGTATATGAACAGACACACAGACATTCTCTGTTCCTTGGTATTTTTATTATAATGTCATGCTATGAAGTGATTGTGTTTATATTGCTCTGTAGTCATCAATCCCTAAGAAGGGGAAACCCTGCATGAGACCCAGCAATACAGAAGCTTAGGGAAAGCCAGTGTAATTGTTTAATCTACAACTTTCCCTCGAGTTATATGCTGCTGCTAGTTGTTAGTTCCAACTTATGCCAACCTTATGTATAAGAGAATTGAACTTTGCCCCAACCTGAGCTATTTGCTCTGTATAAATGTTTAATCTCCTAAATTAAAAGCATTATTATTTCTGGCTTCTTGTCTTCTTTGTTCGGTCCAGAAGAAACCAAAATATTAGAAGTCTTAACTGTTAAGGGCAATGCTAACTTTACTCCTCATGCTGATCATGCTACTAGCCGTCTTCCACAAGACTATCCTTAGAGTACGTGCTACAAAGGCCATTAGTACTACACAGTACATAATATGTCACACAATTTCAGTATGAAGAAAAAATAACTTACATGACAAGGATCTTAATAATCCCATAGGTATGGGGATAGGATACTCAGCGGTCAGTTAGACTCACAGACTACGGAAGTGATTTATTCCCTTGAGTCTCATTAAAATGGCAAATTAATACATTTCACGGACATTCCAGGTCATTAGCAGATAGTGATATCTATAAATGTTAAACTGATGGATGCCAAAAGCCTACTGCAATATATGAGGGCTTCAATAAATTTGTGGGGAAACCCCATTATCTTTTAATCTCATTTGCCCATAAATTTTGTCTACCATCCTTTTAAATACAGTTAGGTTTTTTCCCTAAATCTAAGAACTGAACAAAGGAGTGCAAAGTCTTTTATGTGTGATGTTTCAAAATAGTCATTTCTGAAGATGACGTGTTATCCAGGTATATATTTACAAAGATGAGATGGTGTTATCAGGATTATCAAGCACCTTAAAAATAATCTTATTTTGTTGCAAGAATTACTTTTACACCACCTAAAATAAAGTTTTTATTTCCAACGGTGGACTTCTCTACTTATTAGAAGTGTGGGTTTTTTTTAATACTCTAGTAATAATTTTACATTCAATTATCACCCTTTGGTTTTAAACCTATGGCTTCTGGAACAACAAGGAACTGATTTATTTCCTCTCTTTCCTGGTAGGGCTTTATATAATTTTTTTGTTTTGTTTTGTTTTTAGGTCTTTATATAATTTTAAGGCAACTCTCTCACTACCCATTTTGTTTTCATTTCTCTAGACCGAACATGTTGGATACTTTCCACTTCTCTAAGCTAGTTTGTTAAGGTCCCTTTATCAAGTTAGCCCCCAAACCACACCTGATGCTACTGAGTTGATTCTGCCTCATCGCGACCCCAAAGGACAGAGTGGAATGGTCCCATGGGTTTCTTAGGTTGATGTCTTTCTGGAAGTGGATTGCTATATCTTTATCTTGGGTGCCCCACCCCCACCCCCAATCTTTCTTTTGTAACACCTGTGGCATACAGTTCTCCTTTGACAAAGGAGGCTGTCATGAGGCAGAACTTACATGACAGAAACTGGTTCTGATCAGCATAAAAAGGAGAAAAGTATTTCCTGTAAGTTGGATATTTCAATTTGTTATTTATGTACCCTAAGGCTATGTAAATTTCCTTCATAGTCATATCATACTTAATGTGATGTTATATAAATTGCACACCTTTCTCTTTTTCAGTTTAAAAAAACACTCAGCATCTATTGAACATATGTGATAACTGAAGCAGATTTTTTACTTCTCAAACAAGGTGGAGAGCTTTTGAAAAACCAAAAAAAGCACTGATTTTCAAACTTACCCATCTGTCTCTTGATGATGACCGGGTTTGAATAAGTTCAAGGTTCTTGCAGGATAGTAAGCGACTTCGAACCTTATATACACAACGGTACACTTCTGATAAACTTTTACCAGGTTGATATCTAAATAAAGAACCAAAATTAAAAAGTTACCTAATTTCTAACATCATTAGAGCAAATTTAGTCTGAGGATAATTTTAAGTTACTTGCCGGCTTTCTCCGCAGGCTTGACTAAGTAAATTTGTGTGTTTCAGAAGAGCTGCAAGAACAAATCTAGACACAGTGTCCAGCAGTGACTCATTACTTAAAGTTGCACTATCCCAATCTGAAAATTAAAAAAAAGATACATAAACATTTTAAAAGAGCTCAGAAAACAATTTGGGTCATGTAATAGCTTTGACAATCCAGAACCAGAATTTTACCATCTTTCTAAATAGTTATTTAACAAACGCGCCTACTAGATCCCACATACTAGGTATTAGGTACTAGGAACACAGCAGTAAACAATACAGCAGTCCATTATCTCATAGTGCTTCTATTCTAATTGGAGGAGGGGAAGAGACAACTAACAAACGAATATTATTTAAGATGCTAAGTGCTTTGGAGAAAGATAAAGCTTGGTAAGGAAATTGAATATCATAGTACAGGAGGTTACTATTTTATAGAGGATGGGGGTTACATAAGGTAACTCTGATAAGGTGACATTTAAGCAGAGACAGAACACAATAGAGCAAGGTGCCACATGCCAAATGCCCTCCAGCAAAACCCAGTACACAGACTCTGAGGTGGGTTCAAAAAGAGCATGCACCAGTGGTAGGAAATGAGAACGATCTGGCTGGAGAGCAGATCATGGAGAACCCCGCAGATCCCTGCAAGTACTCAAGTTTTACCCTGAGTTGGCTAAGAGATGTTTTGAAAATGTAATTGTGCTGACTGGAGAACAGACTAAAGAGAGAGCAAGAGCTGAAATTATTTATTGCAGTAATTCAGGGAAGAGAAGATGGCAGCGTCATTGGAGACAATAATGAGGCTCTCTATATATTTTGAAGCCGTGCTGAGAGGGTCTGTGGATGGATCAGGAGAAGGAAGACTGGGAGGCCCACCCTAATCCCAACTACTAAGTGGACACCTGCCCCTCCCCCAAGAAGAATTTATTTCAAAGGACGGCATTGAATCTGCAGCTCCGGGAGAGGAATATATCTGATCAGGGCACACGGGAGCAGATGAAGGGAAAGGAGGAGTTGAGCATACCCTGGCCCACCAGGCCGTGAGGACGATGTTCCCAAGTAGAGCAGCCAATCCAGAGAGAGGACCACATGGCCAGCCCCACTATGACACATGACGCCCCTCACTGACCCATAGCCCTACAGGGGACAACACTGGAGACACAGTGTGGGAATAGCACCTGATCTGATGCTGCCACACCGAGGCAAAACACTAAGAGGGTGCAACAGAACAGCAAGGGAATGGAGTGGCGAGGACCCCAGGGAATGCTGAAGGTGGACTTTGGGGCCAGGGCGTGGTGCCCCAACAGACTGGTCTGGAAAGCACTCCTAAAGGTCAACAAACAGTCCTTGAACTAACTACAAGCTTTTCTTTCTTGTTGTGTGGTGTTTTGTTTTTTGTCATTGGTTTGTTGTTGTTGTTTTGTTGTATATTGTTGCTTGGTTTTGCTCTGTCTTGTTGTTGTGCATGTTATATCCACAAGTCTGTCTAAATAAGATAGGCTGGATGAACAATGTGGAGGAGAAAACAACGGGACCGACAGTTCCGAGAACATGGGAGAGGGGGAGGTAGGGGGAAAGGTAGTGGTGTTAACAAACCCAGGGACAAGGGAACAACAAGCGATCCAAATTGGTGGGGAGGTGGGTGTGGGAGGCCTGGTAGGGCA